GTTGTTCTCCAGATTTCTTGGTACAACTTGGTGAGCACATCCAGGGCAGCATCTGTTAGCTGAAACATGTCAATTGGTATACCATCTATTCCTGGAGCCTAATTTTTTGCCATTTCCTTCAAAGCCGCCTGAACTTCTTCTTTTATCACCATAGGCGCTTGCTCATATGTTGTTTCATGAAATTCTTAAAGAGGTTAGTGAATTAAAATTATAGGCATAGAGCCAAAATAGTTAAATCTTGTATACTGGGTTAAAGTGGATGATATTACATTATGTTTCTTATGTTTTATTTTTCATTTGTAGATTGTTATTGTTATTTGCTCAGAGGCAATTTGTACTCATAGTGACCTTATGCATAATAAAACCAAACACTATCAGATCCTGAACAACCCTCACAGTTGCTGCTGTGATTATGCCCATTGTTGGAGTCATTGTGTTATTCCAGCTCATTGAGGATCTTCTTTTTTTACTGACCCTCTACCAAGCATGTTGTTGTTGATTGCCTTTGAGTTGAAGACGAGTGATAGAAACCCTGTGAACAAAAAGCCTGAAGCCCTTCTACAACTATTGACATATTTCAAAGTTCATAGAGTTTCCAGAGGCATCTTTAGTAATAACCTTGTTGTTTTCAGGAACTAGTAACCTCTCATTTAGCTGCATTTCCTCCTCATTTTATAAGTGGTTAGACCTATAATCAGACTTTCTACTTTTTCCTCAGTCTTTTGGATCTTATTGTAACATGGACTGTTGCTTTAAGAGAAGAGATGTAGTCTATTTATCAGGAGCCCCAAGATCTAGCTCTATCAGTAACTCCATATGTGTAGCAAATTACTCATTCAACTGTGATATTATTTCTGAAAGTTGACTCATAACTGAACCTTTAAGTACATTTGGCTATACATTTAAACCTTAAACCAAAAAATATGGCCTAAAATTTTCTGAAACCTAACAATAGTTTAACTAGTAAAAAAAGTCTGCCTTGAACATTATATTCTTTGAAGAATTGTCTATATTAGATTAAATTGATAGGAGTAACTCAGACGATTAGATAGGAACATTAAAGGGCAATGGATTTATGTTCATGAAAGAGGAACAACTCAGAAAAGAAGAATTGTTACACAACTCAGAATATGTAGTCAATGTCACTTGATTGTACGTGTAGAAATTTGAATTGGTTTATGTTTGGCTATGTTTTTCTTAACAATGTCAACAAAATAAAAAGTTTTAAAATACTGTCACAGTGGTAATCTAAAAAAACAAAAAAAACCCAACTCAACATATTAGTACTAATTTGGTCCCAGAACAAAAGATTAAACTGTAAGTTAAAAGATAAAACTGTTCCACTGTATCCACTCTTGTTATGTGCATTGTTTTACCTGTGACTTGTAGCGACCCTATGTACACTAGCTCTGAAACCTCCCCTATACTGAGCCAAGCTCATCATCTCCAACAGCCTAATCCCATTTCTCTGGTCAGTCCATCTCATCCTGGATCTTCCTCTCCTACGCTGGCCCTCCACACTTCAAAGCATGATGTCCCTATCCCTCCTGGCCACATGCCAAAATTATGTGAGAATAATCATCAAAATCTTGTCTTTTGGGAGAATCCTGTTTTCACCCTCTCTAGACCAAACCTGTCTGTTCTCCTGGCAGTCCATGGTATGTTCACCACAATCTTCCAACTCAAAGGCATTGGTCGTTCTCCTATCATACTTAGTTATTGCCCAGTTCTCAAATGCATAGCAAATAATTTCAAAGGCCATGTCCCTTAGTCCCTAGACTAAGGTCTCTAAACAGACATCGTTGCTGTTTGGTACTTTAGAGAGGTCCTTGACAGTAGACTTTCCCAGTGCAATTTGTCTTTTTATTTCCTAACTACTGGTGCCAATAGTGTTGATTATGGAACTAAGCAAGCTGAAGTTATCAACAATATTACTTTCTTCTTCATCCATCATGAAGCTGCTGATCAGCCCAGTGGTGAGAATCTTTGTTTTCTTGACATTGAACTTCAGTCCATATCGAAGTCTACAGTCCTTAACCTTCTGCAGCAAACACCTCATGTCCTCCTCAGTTTCTGCAAGCAAGGTTGTATCATCTGCATAACACAGGTTATTGATGAGTCTTCCACCAATCCTGATGTCACATTCCTCCTCATAGAGCCCAGCCTTCTGGATGATATGTTCTGCATATAGATTGGAAAGATATGGAGATAAGATGCATCCTTGATGCACACCTTTCCTGATCCTGAACCATACAGTATTTCCCTGTTCTGCTTCCTGGTCCAAGTATAGGTTTCTCATGAGCGCAAAAGTCTAAACCAAGGTCTGTCTTCTTTATTCCTTTTGTTAATTTTGAGAGAGGAACTCTCCTATCTCCTTCTCCCATCACACTTGGAAAAAATAGAGAATCAGTGAAAGAGTAAGACTCTCAAGGAAGTGCGTTGGCAGACTGTTTACAACAATAAGCCTAAGCCCAAGAGAAATTGTGAGAATGGTATAGGACCAGGAGCAGAGTTTCTGATTTTGTTTGGTTTTGAGCTTTTTTTATATAGGATTGCCACAAATTGTAGTCTACTTGAAGACCTCTAACAGCATCTGTCACTCCTTGTCATTATAGATGTGTCTGCTTTCTTTATCCCATGGCATCTTCCTTTGGTCTCTACCACTCAGTAGGGGTTAAGAGTAGAACTCACCACAGTCTTCAAATTATTTCCCTGATAATATCTTCAAACGAAGATTATTTCTTCAAATAAAGTCGTATTCAGATACATGGATTAGTATTTAAACATCTCTCTTAGGGGAATACCATTAAATCTATTACATATATCTTGGAAAATTCTCCTTATTGTGGTAAAATGAGTTCTTTTTTAAAAAAAAATTAATGAAAGTTTACAGAGATTTTGGATTTCCATTCATACATTGTTGCACACTTTACTCCCTGCCTACCCCTCCTCTCAATTCCTCTTCTCCTTGAAAAGGAAAAAAAAATTCTTTCATTGTTACATAATCCTCCCTCACTCCCCAAGTCCACTTTACTGTGCAGCTCTTATTCTGGACTCCTGTCATGAAAATGATACCTAATCATATATTCTGTTTAAACAGTTCTCTCCCTCATCTGTTTCAATGCAGTATAAATTATTTATCCCTTCTTTTCTTAAGTTCCCCCCAACCCCGATGTCAGTCCCATTTTACAACAGTGACTCTATGCAGTATTTGTCCTTTTGTGTCTAAGATATTTCACTCAGCATAATGTCCTCCAGAGTCATCAATTTTGTATAATATTTCATGAGTTCCTTGTTTTTCAAGGCAGCATAGTATTCCATTGTGAATGTACCACAATTTCTCTATCCATTCGTTTGTTGATGGGCACTTAGGTTGTGAAAAAAACAGCAATAAACGTGTGTGCATATATCTGCTTTGTTGGCAGTTAGGGTTTTTTCAGGGTATATTCCCAGTTGTGGAATTGCTGGGTCAAATGGTATTTCTATTTGCAGCTTTTTGAGGAAGCGCCGTACTGCCTTCCATAGTGGTTGCACCAGGTAAAATGAATTCTTCTAAGTGGCATTTTTTCCTTGGCTCTTTGGGAAAACAGATTGGGAGATTTTGTCCCTAACTCTTTTGCCCTAGTTTTCTTTCCCAGAGTTACTTTTTCCGTGTTGTTTGCTATTTCTTAAGTAAGCTGTAAATAACTTAGTTTGATACATTTCTTTGGCCCTGGGCTGGAGTCTGCTCTGTGATTGGTATGCACATAGCGGAGATTGGTCAATATATTATGCTGCTTAAGTGGTTGTAGATTATACAAATAGTGTTTCTGGCCTACCTACTGGTTAGAAGCCTGCCTCGAAATTACTAAGGAATTTATATATGACATGTAAAAAACACAGTGGTTTTTGAGACAGAAAGATAAAAAAGAGAAGCAACAGGAAAATGTTGCAGGAAAAAAAGAGGTAAGGAACTTTTAAAAGAGCTGTAGCTTCCTTTAAATAAATAAAAAAAGAGCTGTAACAAAGGCCAAAATCTGTCACTCTAAAGGCAGCAAATACTCTAAAAGGGACCCTGCAGCAGACTTGGTGGTGTCAGAGGAACCTGCCTGAAAGTAAAAAAAAACCCTGTTCTCACAGGAAGCCCTTCATGGAATGGTGCTGAGAAATCTGTACTGCACTGAAGAAGGGGGATTTATTCAAAGCCTCCCTGATCCTGAGGATCTTAACCCTGAGTTTTACTCTGTTAATTCATTAATAAACAAATTAAGCATGGTCTTTGAGTTATCTGTGACCACTGCAACGGATTATCAAAACCCAACAGAGATGCATAGAGTGCCATGAGAGAGATATCTAATATGACAACTGGTGAAAAGATTGGAAATTTGGCTTTTTGCTGATTTTTATATTTTAAGTTATTCATACATTATAAGGTTTTCTTTTCCTCTCCTGGCCTGGTGAGTAAGAAGCTGTGCTGCCAAACAAAACAAATGGTTCACATCCTAGCTGAAATGAGGAAGGAAAATGAGCAGTCTCTTTCTGTATAATTTACTGCCTCTGAAAACCCAATTGAGGGTCAGTTTTAAATCAGTTCCAACTTGACAGCACATAACAACAACATATAGCAATTTTGCGACTCTATTGGCATAGTCCATAGGGTTGTTCTGCTAACCAAAAAGGTGACACATCTCTGGTGATTCAAATCCACAAACAACTCCAGGAGAGAAAAATGGCCAGTCTTCTCCTAGGTAGTTTATTGTTGTTGTTGATTGCCTTCGAGTCAAGCATGACTCATAGCAACCCTATGAACAAAGGGCTTGAAGCCCCTCTATAACTATTGGCATTTATCGAAGTTCATAGGGTTTCCAGAGGCATGTTATTAAGGAAGTGGATGCCATTCCTATGCAGCTTACAGCCTCTGGGAACCCATAGAACGATCTGCTAGAAGTTGACTTCAACTCAACAGTAATGAGAAATATAGCATTTAAAATCTCCCTTTCCACCCTCTCCACCATTTCCAGGACCGTAAGAGACAATATGAACTGCTCAAACTTGAAAGAAACTTCCAAAAACAGTCCAGTGTTCTCAGACGTAAAACTGAAGAGGTAAGAAAATCTAACATGTTGATGACATAACAATTACCAGTTGGTATCAAGTCAATTACTACTTGTTGATAATTCCATGTCTGCTAGAATAGAATTACATGTCATAAAGGTTTCAGTGGCTGTGAATTTTTAGAAATGCATCACCAGGCCTTTCTCCAAGGTGTCTTTGGGAGGGTTCACACCACTAAACTGTTTAGGTAGTACTTCTCCTGGCAAAGTAGTATGCTTTAAATGAGTCAGTGTTCTACGAAACCAGGGATACCTATCTTAGTCAATAATTCCTATGTCTTTGAAACCACTTTATGTCATGTCCTGTGAGTAGATACAATCCTGATGAGAATATCCTTTAAAATTGGGCTTGATTCTTCCCCAAAACACAATGTATGTGAATGGTTGTTACACAGTAGGATTAATGTAATTTATATTACTCAACTTTGTACCTTCAAAATAAGGAATTGGCAGATGTAGTGTTACATGGCTTTATAACAATTTTTTTAAAAAACAATTATAGTGATATATTGCATTTTGAATATTAAAGTGCTTTCTTAACATGTGTCCCTCCTCTAGGCTCAAAATCACTAAATCACCAGTATTATGGAAATAGACTTGTAAAGTTAGTACCTATTCAAGCACATGAAATTTTTTACTTTTCTCTAGTAATTTGCTTCAAAATTAAAATGTTAATTACTTTTCAAGTCAACGTTGCTGTGTTTTTATTACATTAGTACTATTTTTATTTAGGCAGCAGCTGCCAACAAGCGTCTTAAGGATGCTCTTCAGAAACAACGAGAGGTCTCAGACAAGCGGAAAGATGATCAGAGCCATGGAGTTGAAAACGTCATAACTCGAATGAGGGTACGACTACCTTTAAATTCTATTTCTCTTCTATATGTTGGGAATGAGGGGAAATTTAAATTAGCTTTCTCTTAGTTTAGGGGTAACATTAGAAGACCTCAAGCCCATTCCTAAAGATAATATCTCTGAAATATTGATAAATATCAAAATTACATAACCACTGGTGAGAGTCAGCGCCCAGAGCCATCAGGGGCTTTAAGCTCGTTGCCCACTGCTGTGGTGTGGACAGCTGAAACCCAGGCCCCGACATGCACCTTGGGGGGGGGGGGGAACCGAGAGTCTACTTCATGCTCTGCTGGAGAAGGAGGGGCAGTCTCCTGTACCCATCAGATCCAATTTGACGGTAAACACACACACACACACGTTTCCTTCTTTTTTACAAAAAGACTACTTCAGCCGTTGGGGCCCTCTGCCCGGGGCGGGGGGGAGGGGCTGCCCGGGGCGGACTGTCCTCGGCCCCCGGCTCGGGGCGAGCCGTCACAGCCCTCTACCCAGGGTGGGCTACCCTCAGCCCTCTGCTCGGGGCGATCCATCGTGGCCTTCTGCCTGGGGCGGGCTGCGCTTGGCCCCCGGCTCAGTGCGAACCGTCACGGCCCTCAGGACCAAGAAGGCAAGCAGCTGTAACCCAAGACCACCAGTAAGGTGATAAAGCGTCCTCCCTTCCCCCCTTTAAATCTACTCCCCTGTTCAGCATGAAGAAGCCAGAGAGTCGGCATCCAATTCCCAAATCAATAAGATGGTTTAATTACTATTGGAAAATGCTTGTCATTCCTCTGTAGCATCTGGTCCCCACTGGACCCTCATCATTTCCTTCACCTGCTCCCCCCACCGACCAAACTATGCAGCTCTGCAACTGCATCCTGGTCCATCCTCACCCTTCTGCCTTCAACCCTCACCTCCTTGTACCCCCAATATGTTTTTCCAATTAAAAAAAATATTTAAAAAAAATTTAAAAAAATATCAAAATTAAAGAACCTTTTCTATCCCTGACACTACTGAGGATTTTTAAATAACTTTTTATTAAAGTAACACTGAGTAAATTTATACATGCTTCAAACCTACAGTTTCATAAGTTTTGACACATCTCTACTAGTTTACGAGTATAAACTCATGAACATATCACCGTGTATAATCAAATAGTGACAATTTCCGTCTTCACCTAAAGGGTTTGGAGGGTTTTTTACCCCTTTTAGTCCCATTTTTCTATTTCTCAAACTCTAGACAATCTGCAGTCTATTGCTATAGGTTGGTTTTTACTTCAGAATTTTATAAAAATGAAATAATATGGTATGTCATTGTCTTGGCTCCTTTCACTCAAGAAAATTGTTCTGAGATTCATCCATATTATTGCATATGTCAATAGGGTTTTTTTCCTTTTTATTGCTGAATAAGGTCAAATATATGAATATACGGTAATGTCTATTTACCAAACAGGTATGGAGATAGAATACAACCCTGACGCATCACCTTTCCACTTCAAAACCATTCACTGCTCCCCTGCTCTGTTCACACAACCACCTCCTGATCCAGATGTAGGTTCTGCATGAGCACAGTCAAGTGCTCTGGAATCCCCATTCTTCTCAGTGTCAGCCACAACTTGTTATAATCCACAGAGTTAAATGCTTTTGCATAGTCAATAAAGACAAATGGACATTCTTCTGGTATTCCTTACGTTCAGCCAGGGTCCATCGAACATCAACAGTGATATCCCTGACACTTCTAAGTCCTGCTTGAACTTCTGCCATTTCCCTATCTATGTACTGTTCCAGCCATTTTTTAATGATTTTCAGCAGTATTTTGCTTGCATGTGATATCAATGATATCGTTTGATAATTTCCACATTCAGTTGGATCACTCTTCTTGGGAATGGGAACAAATCTCTTCCAGTCTGTTGGCCAGACAGTCACTCTCCAAATTTCCTGGTATAGATTGGTGAGTCCATCTAAGGCTGCATCTGTTGAAAGAAGTCAATTGGTATCACATCGATTCATTGCCCCTTATTTCTTGTCAGTGCTTTCAATGCAGCTTCCACTTCCTCCTTCATTACCGTTGGCTCCTGAAGCTGGACTATATGAAGAGGAATGTAGCATCAGGATTGGAGGGAGTCTCATCAATAAACTACGTTAAGCAGATGACACAACCTTGCTTGCTGAGCATGAGGAGGACTTGAAGCATTTGTTGCAGAAGATCAAGTAATGCACCCTTCAGTATGGATTGCATCACAGTATCAAGAAAACAAAGATTCTTACCACTGGACAATGCCATGATGGATAGAGAGGTGATTGAAACTGTCAACAGCTTCATCTTGCTTGAATCCCCAATTAACACCCTTTGTGCAGGTATTTGGCAAATAAGGACACATGCTGCACTGGGAAAATCTGCAGTTAGGGACCTTTCCAAATTATTGAGGAGTAGTGATGTCAGTTTAAGGACTAACATGTGTGTCTGATTCAGGCCATCGTTTTTCTGATTACTAGCTATGCATCCGAGACCTGGACAATGAATAAGAATGACAGAAAAAGAATTTACGCCTTTGAGCTGTGGTGTTAGAGAAGAGCACTGAATATCCCACGGGCAGCCAAGAGAAAGAACAGATAAGTCTTAGAGAGAGTGCAGCCGGGGTGCTCTTTGGAGGCAAGAATGATGAGGCTTCACCTCACATTCTTTGGGCATGTTGCTAGGAAGTGCTATTCCTTGGAGGGGGACATGATGTTGGAAAGAGTGGAGCGTTGGCGAAGGAGAGGAAGACCCTCAATCAGGTGGATTGACACAGTAACTGCTGCACTGGGCTCTTGTGTGTCACGAAGTGTGAGGATGGCACAGGACAGAATTAGGTTCAGATCTTTTGTTCATAGGGTTGACTCGACGGCACCTAACAACAACTATTCACCAATTAATTGATTGATTAATTTTACTTGTTTCCTGGTTTTGACTATTACAAATAAAGCTGTTGCAAATGTTGGTTTTCATATCTTCATGCAGACCATATATTTTGGATAAAGACAGGAACAACTGGCTTGTATGGTTCTTATTGTTATGTTCTGTAGAGTCAAAACGAACTCATAGCTGACTCTCTAGTGGGTTTTCAGAAACTATAAATCATACAAAAAGAGACTGCCATCTTTATTCTAAGGAGCAGCTGGTGGATTTGAACCACACTACTCCTCCTTGCCACTAAGTCACCAGAGCTGTATATTTTTTCCTTTTTTAAACATTTTTATTGGTTTTCATATAATAATTACTTTACATTTTGTTTCATTCATATACATTCTGTTTTATATAATCTTTCATATACATTGTTTCATGCAATCATTCATATGTCTGTATATTTTAACTTTATAAGAGAAAAGCATCTATTTTCCAAAGTGGTTTTTACATTTATTTTACATATTTCTCACTGTTTGACAGTTACAATTGGTGCAGATTCTCACCAATACGTCTTACAGTGAGTCTTTTAGTCATTCTGAGTCAGTTTTGACTCAACAGTACAAAAGAACAACAGTAATAGGGAAGCACCAAAAGAGAAGCACACACTCAACATTTTTCAAGTTGAAAGAACTGAAGAACAATTTCAAACTTCAAGTCACAACATGAATTATTTGAACAAAATATTGAATGATGCAGAAAGCATCAAAAAAGGTGAAAGTTATTGTGCCAAAAAGAACTGATATTGAATCAGAAAGTATCGTATAATGAAGAACCAATTGTAGTGAAGGAAAAATATTCAAGCTACACTAAAGGCAATAGCAAAAAATAAGGCCCTAGGAATTGATGAGGTGTCAATTGAAGTATTTCAACAAACAGATGCATCCTTAAATCTGTTCACGCGTAATCCATGCAAAGAAATTTGGAAGACAGCAACCTGGACAAGTAACTTAAAGAGACCTATATTTGTTCTCATTGCAAAAGAATATGGCCCAAAAGAGTGTATGTAAGTTATTGAATAGTATCATATGCAAATAAAATCTTTTTGAAGATTATTTACAAATGACTGGAGCACTGGAGAAGGAGGAACAATCTCCTCCTGTACCAGTCAGATCTGATTTGACAGTACACACACAAAATAATAAAAAAAATTTTTTTTAAAAAGAAAAAAAAATGACTGGAGCAATACATTGACAGGAAACTACCAGAAATTCAAGCTGGATTATTAAGAGGCCATGAAACAAGGAATATTATTGCTGATGTCAAATGGATCTTGGTTGAAAGAAAAGAATACCAGAAAGATGTTATCTGAGTTTTATTGGCTATGTAGAGGCATTTGACTGTATGAATCATAAAAAATTATAACTAACATTGAAAAGAATGTCAATCTCAGAACACTTAAATAGTGTTCATGTAAAACCTTTACATAGTCCAAGAAGCAGTTGTCTAAATAGAACAAGGGAACAGTGCAAGGTTCAAAATCAGTAAGAGTGTGCATCAGTGTTGCATCCTTTCTCCATATCTATTTAATCTGTATGGAAAAATAATTTCTTAATAGGTCTTTATGAAGAAGACCTATCCTGAAGTAGCATCAGGCTTAGAGTAAAACTCAACAACAACCTGTGTTATGCAAATGATACAGTGTTGCTTGCAGAAAGTAAAAACTTGAAGCACTGCAGAAGATCAAAGCCTTTAGTACATCTCAACATCAAGAAAACAAAAATCCTCACCACTTGACCAATAGGGCAACATCAAGAAAGAGAACTTTCGCTACTGGGCTGAGATGTTATCTCATTGTGGTTTTAATTTGCATCTCTCTTATTGCCAGTGATTTTTGAGCGTTTCTAAATGTGTCTGTTGGCTATCCAAATGTGTTCCTCTGTGAAAAGTCTTGCCATGTCTTTTGCCAGTTTTGTAATTGGGTTATAAGTCTTTTTCTTGTGGATGCCCTGTAGGATTCTGTAAACTTGTTATGAGACCCTTGCTTGAGATGGTACTGCCAAATATTTGTTCCCAGTCAGTAGGTTTTCTTTTCACCCTATTGGAAAAAATTTTTGATGCGTACAGGGAGTTAA